ATGTGCCATTTTTATGCATGTACATAGTTCACATGCAATAAAACAAAAATGTAAAGAGGGAAATAAATACATTGCCTTTGTGAACATCCTCAAAATATCAAACTCTATACTTCTCTCTAGCCCTGCCTCCTAAGAAGGTTGAGGACCAGGGAGGGTCCTGCAGGGCAGGGTCAGGGAAATGAAAAGGCATATGTTACTTTTATAGAAGAAGGAGATAGGTTGTTAGATAAAAATGCCCAGGGAAATTTGAATTCCACAGAAAGGGCAGAATAAATTTTAACATAAGTATGTCCCAGATATTGTACCTTCCCATTGGTCCAGCTTAGATCATGTGACCATCTCTGACCTCCTCATGGAACCTGTGATTGGGGGGATGGTTGTCAGGTGCTCATAGAGTCAGAACTTCCTTATACAGTGTGTGTGTGTGTGTGTATTTTATCTGATTTTCAAATTTGAGCGTCTTGTCTTTTTATTTTTTAAATATGGTAGCCCTATGTGGAAGAAAGTAAGGTGTCAGGGTGAGCAGGGCGGCACTGTTCTGTCACTGGGATGCTGCTGGAGTTTGGGGAGGGAAGCAGGTCCCCAGGAATATGAGACGAAGTAGGTACAGGAGATTTTGTAGAGGATTCCCTGGGTGATACGCTGTGTAACACCTCCCTCTCGGTCCTCTTGAGAGCACATCGGTGAAAGGTAGATTCTTTTCAAATATTTTGTGGACTTGGAGTTGAGGATGCCCTAGGGTCCAAGGCAAGCCCATCTCCCATGAGTAGCACACTCGGCCCGGGGCTCTTTTGTGGGCAAGGAATGACGTCAGGGCGACAATGTATCTCTTTCTCTGGTAAGAGTGAAGGTCAGAACCCTTATTTTCCAAGTCGAATTCTGTTGTATCAGAAGCAATCCATTTCATCAGAGGACTTCGTCCAAAGAAAATAACCATGAGGACGTGAAATGTAACTGTTAGCAGTGGGGTCCCACAGGCCTGGGACTAAGCCATGCTGAGGGTGCCACCTGGCGGTTCAAAGAGATCCAGCGTGCCCGGGACACGGACTGTAGTACCCTGGGCGTCTCTGCTGGTTGGTTGCTGTTCATTCTGCCAACAAATGTTTAAGAGGGCCTACTATGTGCCAGGCAACCATATCGCAAACAGGAGTATTAACCGCATAGTTTTGGAATGGTGGTTTCTTAGTCTAGTGCAAATATGAACTTATGCTACTGGAAATACAAGGAAATAAAAAGTAGGTTTTTAAAACTTTCAGGCCATGAAATTCAGGTTGAAACTACTTTTTCTGTCCTATGTTGTCTTCTTTTGTAAAGGGGATTAGTAAATATCTTGGATGGAGTCATACCTCCGAGGGAAAGAGAGCGCGCGAGGAAGGGAGGGAGGGCGAGAAACTTGGTGTGGGAAATTGGTGGGGGCAGGAGATCTAAAGAGCCGATAGAACTTTCTAGAAAACGGCATTCATGCCTTATCTTTGTGCTTTGGTTCCACGACAACTCCTTCCTCCTTTCGTACTGTTGCAGAACATAGAGAGACATCACCTTCACTTCACAATTCGTGGAGCTGGTTTTACGAATTACCGTGCCTTTCTGTTTGGCCCCGGTAGGATTATGTTGGCACCATCAGAGGTTCACCCAGGTCACCTACTAACGGTCTCAGCATATTGCTTTTGTCCTCATGTAGGCATGACTGTCACAAAATGGCCACACTGAAGCCATGAAGCATCGTGACCACGTTTGGGGCAGGAGGAAAAGGGGCAGGGGATTGGTGCTCTAGCAGCTGGGTCTGTCCCCTTCTATTGGCAAAGCAAATACTTTCTTAGAGCACTCTCTCCCCCCTTGTCCCCCCCACATCTGCCAAGCCAACCTCTGCTAAGGCTCATCCCTCAGAAGGCGTCAGAGGATCAACCATAACAGCAAAGGATGCTGGGAAAATGAGTAATGATAATCATAATTGAAACCAACCATGACCCGTTGTTTGAGGATGGACTCGTTGTTGCTGTGAACAAAATTGGGGGTCTGTTAGCAAAGAGAAGGGAAATAGATACTGGCTAGGCCCTTTCTAGTGCCTGCCCCAACATTCCATCACATTTAGGACAATAACTAACTTCTCCTCCTTCGTTTATGTAGGGATGTAGAGGCTCCATATGGGGGGTTCCACAGTGATGTAGGAAGTCATCTTCCCCCACCTGGGCCCCTCACACCAGTAAATTGCTAATGAGCCAAGATTCAGCCCCAGGGGTTCAGCTCTTAGGCCCTGCTGAACTCAGCCAAGCACATGTGGCGACAGAAGCTAAATAAAGCAGAATCCCTGTATCCCTGGTCCCAGAATGAAAGAGCCGGCTTTGTTTTGGGGTGCCCCGGGAGGAGGTAGCACCACTGAGGCTGGCCTTCAGTCATTCCGACCCTGGACACCAGCAGGAGCCAGACCTTCTGGGTCCCTTCCCTCATGTGCCAGCTCTGTGGACTTGGGTAAGTGGTTTAGCCTCCCTGAGCCTCAGGTGCCACACCTGTAAGAAGAGAATAATGATAGCTGGTTTTACTTACAGGAATAAACGAGATACTAAAGTGCCTCAAATAACTAAGAAATCTAAATTCTAAAATCAGAAAGTATTTAAAATGTAGAAAGCAAAAAGAACTAGCAAGCAGTCAGCAATCAGCTATCACTACCCCTACTGATTATTACTATTATTAATGATTATTATTACTCTATTATCCTAGAAGGGATCTCTTTGGTCACTTCTTTAAGGGACTCTCTCTCTCCTGGCCCAGGGATGACAGTTTGCCTGAAGCCTGTCTATTAGCGAGGGTGGATTTGGTCCCAAGAGAAGCGCTTTCTCCACTGCGGTTCTAAACTGGAGGGCAGCCAGCCTGGGAAACGGAACCTTGGTTTCTGAAGGCACCTGGGCACACTCTGAATTTTCTGGCTTCTTTCTTCACCTTGCTTGTTCTCCCTTGGCATCACCTTCCAGGACTGGAGTGATGACCCCACAAATGATTCGGCCCCACCCTGGTCCTGCCAGCTGCCCCATGCCCACTGGTGAGGCTTTCCCCCAGAGGACCTTTCCGAAGCCCACCCCTCCGTTTTAGAATGGAAAATGAGAGGTGGGATCCCTACTGGGAAGAGGCATGTCCACACCCACCAGGTTGCTTCCCCACGTGCCCTTCTCCATCTGTTGTGGGCTGTCCCCAAGATAAAGGGCCAACACTGATAGCCCTTTTGTTTACAGTCCTTAAGTTACAGAAACTTCGGTTTGAGTCCCCATGTGGCCACCAGAGGGAGCTTCCACCTGCTGTGTCACTCCCCTGCTGTTCCAGCCCCCTCTTGGGTCCCCCTCCCACCATGCAACCCTGCTCTCCACCCTCCAGACATACTGGCTGTCCCTCAAAGATGCCAGGCTCCCATGGTCCTCCCATGGTCCTTCCTCCACATGCTCCTCCCGCCCTGAACAACTTGGCTCTTGGGGCGTTAGGATGGACTGAATACATTTTACATGTGAGGATGTGAATTTTGGGAGGCTAGGGGCAGAATGCTATGGACTGAATTGTCCCCCCACTCCCCAAGTTCAGAGTTAAAGCACTAATCCACAGTGTGACTGCATTTGGAAATAGGGCCTTTAGGGGATAATTAAGATTAAGTGAAGTCATAGTCTAAAAGGAGTGTGGTCTTGTACGAAGAGAGAGACCTTTCTGTCTGCCATGTGAGGGCACAGTAAGAAGGTGGTTGTCTGTAAGCCAGGAAAAGAGCCCTCACTGGAAATTGATCAGCCAGCACCTTGACCCTGGACCTCCCAGCCTCCAGAGCCATGAGAAACAAATGTCTATAGTTTAAGCCTCCTGGTCTATGGTATTTTGTTAAGGCAGCATGAGGACAGGAGAATGATGGTATGTCTGGTGATGGCAGTAGGACCTCTCTTGTTCCAAACATTCCCCAAATGTTCCAGAACCCTTCCCATCAGTAGGTCTTGCATTCCAAGTGTCAGTAGGTGTTATCCCAACCTAAACCCCAGAAACTGGAATCACTCCAGTTGGTGCCATCCCAGAGAGTCTGGAACAAACACCTCATAGATTTGACTTTTTTTTTCATTTATTTTATTAGCATCAATATATACAAAGTGGAAAATGACTCAATCTGATTCTAGCATAGAAAGTTTGTTTTGCTTTTTATTCTGTTTGGGGATAAAATGAAAATGAAAACTTCCCAGGAGAAAGCCTACCTTTAGGGGTGCTGAACAACTCCATAATACCTGGCCTCCAATGACCCACCGTGACTAGTCAAGGGCATAAGAAAGTCATACCCTTTGGACTTACCCCCCAAAAAGGTCATTTTTGCCCTAGGCTTCAAAAGATCGTATTTAAAGCATGTCTATGGAACTAAGTGAGGATGGCCATCTAGTGGCAACCAGGAGACTTATGAAGGCTAAATAACTACTCCCTGCACCCCCTCCTTAAACAAAACAAAAGGCTGAGTTCCAAGCTGAAGAGGGTAGAGTGTGTGCATTTTCAAAGCACAGGGTAGTAGCTGACAGATACAGCTTATATGAAATAGCATGTAATACACACCATCACATGCATTTTCTGAAGCTCGAAATCTCTGTAAACGTATTTCCCCACTATTTTAAAATCAGAGTGGCTTGGAGGAAGGTTCAGTCTGTTCTCAAGTTTCTCAAGGCTGTATCCTGTTCAAAAATATTTAATCCCAATGGGTTTTAATATTGATCTTATAAAAACAGACATGTATGAACTGAAATGAGATGGCTAGTACATTTTTGGCACTGTTATTATTTTTTGTTTTTCCTTTACAGATTACAAATACACATTCAGATATTTTAAAAAGAAAAATAGACACCAACCTGTCTTTTCAGTCACACTGTACATTGTCCAGCTCACATGATCCATTTTTAGGCTAAAACAAACTTTTAAAATATGGTTATAGGTGCTGTACTACTAAGACGACAGTATCCTGAAAAAGAAAAACATTGACACCTTTTCTATACCTTCAGTAGCCAATAAGAATTCCTGGGCCACGGCCTGGCCAGTTTTAGGGAACAGGGTTAGAGTAAAGATTTTGTATTATTTCAGTCTTTATGAAAGGCAGATGTTTAGTTTTCACATAACCATGGTATGTTCTAAAATTAAATATCATTAATAGAGTCCTTCATTCCAGATGATGCAGGGTTAGGGTTAGAATATGCACCAAATAGGAATAAAAGCAAAGATGGGATTTTGCCTTTTTAAAAAACCATTACATTATTTGCATTGTTGATCTTTCTCCAAACATAGCATCGCCTACTAATGGTCTGGAACATTTCTCCTTCGGTTCTTTAATAAAATGGGGTAGGCTTTGGGTGGCTAGAAAGCAGCCTTTAATGATCTCTTGCTGTGCAACATGAACACATGCCTTAAGCAGCACAGATGCAGGAATTCTTTTCTGGCAGAAGGAAAATATCTGGGCCTCCGATCCCCCCGCCCCAAGACTGAGGTCCAAGCTCCTGGCTGGGGGAGGCTATGAGCATGTCAGATCCACCTGCTTATTCGGCTCCAGATGCATCCTACACAGAATCTGGATTCCCAGCCATTCTTCCAAAAGCATGATGGCCAGAATGGTCTTTTCTTGTTTGAAAACCAGCTGATTTAAAACAATTCTAGAGAGCATGTTGGGGATATCCAAGAGAGATCTAAAAGCACTAAGTCGGTGTGCCTCTCTGAGCCACCACCAGGGAGGTGACAGTCCCAGGGAAGTGATGTGTACGTACCATAACTTCCATGCATGCTCACCCTGGCCTTCTCTTTCTACCTGTATTTAGGAAAGCGTCTTCCTGAGGGTCACAAACCCACCAGTCCCACTGGGTTGGCTCCAAAGGATCCTGATAAACTGTGAGAGCGCTTTTGTCATTAATGAGATGTTATGAATGCCTTTCTGGCTTGCAATTCCTCCTTCCCTCCTCCTTGGTATTCAAATAGTTTGATGCAGGTTCAGTTGTGGTTTTAAGCCCCCTGTTCCCATTCCTCTGCACCTCCACAGTCAGCAATCATACCACCACCCAACATCTGGGCAGAGTTTGGAGAACAGAAGGGCAGTTTCTTTTTGCGGGATTCTTCCTTCCCCTGCGATACTTGATTGTACATATATTCTGAAGGTGACGCCTTTAGAGAAACAGTGCCCTTGAACTCCCTTATTTAGAGGGCTCAGGCATCCCAGCACACCAGGAGAAAAACAGAGCTCACCTCTGGATTTCAGGCCACGGCACCCCGACCTGCACAAACCCTTATCACTATGGGTGAAGCTGCCTGTACCTCCGAAGCCTGCGGGTCTGTTATCACAGCTTGAGGGTGGCCTTGCTCAACAAGGTGATGGATCCTGGCACTTGGAGCATAAATTACCTGTTCTTTCACCACTGAAGGAGTATCCAAGAAAACAACATCTTATTAACTCGACTCCATCACCCAAAGTTCCTTCTTACCCAATTTATCATTTGGATGCTCGGACCACTCATCTTCTCTGAAAATTTTCCTTTGTCATTTACCACCTTTCTAGAAAGAAAACATCTTATTTTGCCAACATCCAGTGAGGCCAGGGTGGTAAAAGAGAATGTTTGTATAACGTCTTGGTTACTTTCAGAAGGAATATGGGTGGGAGGGGATGCGGCAAGGCCTTTTAGAAGCAGGCTAAATTCCAACCCAAATTAATCCAACAAGAAATACCCTTTCCAATCAAATATTGGGGTTTCAATTTGTACTAAAAACATCATGGACATGGATCCCAAAGATGCATGCAATCTGATGCAGCCGTAGCGTGGCACTGTGGATGGGGAAACGGCCTGGTTTTGCTGTTTTCCCCTCTGCTGCTGTTTGCCATTTTGCAGTTCTTCCCCCTGCCTTCAGAATTGAGGCTGTAGCATGAACTTGGCTGCAGCTGCAATCCATCCAACCACACCTATTTCAATTTTAAATATAATAAATACAGGGAAGAAAACAGTAAATCTTCAATGAAGAGTCTAAAGAAAAGACAGTCGACACTCTGGGGTTTTAATCAAATGCCACATGGTCTCCGGAAGAATTTCTTGAGGAGGTTCTAGTTGAGTTCGTGTCTGTCCGTTCCCTTCTCAGGTGTAGCTCTTTTTAGATGGAAACTTCATACTCTCTGGTTTCCTGCAAGACAGAGAACACATATCTGACGAACCCGGTGCGGTAGAGTTACCCAAGAATGGCTCCACCACAACACTGGCCGTGTGACTTTGGAAGCGAGTCACCCTGACTCGCTTTTGCTGCCAAAGGGTCACAAGAAAATGGGTCACATGGGGGCCCGAAGAGTGCCTGTGTCCTGCCCTCCTGCCACCACCATCAGCAGAGGCCACGTGATAGCCTTTGGCCCCAGCAAGCCAACAAAGGACACGGAGAGCAGCGCTGAGTGACCCAGCCCACAACCAGCCAACCCCAGATGTGTGAGCGTGAGAGTACAGCCCAATCAGCAGCCACCATGTGGCTGGAACCAGCTGGAAATACCACTCCACAGACTAATGAACGAATCACATATGTTGCTTGAGCAACTGAATTTGGGGTTGTTTGTTACCCAGCATCATTATAGCTTTAGGTAATGAATATGCTTATACATACTTAATACGTACTTATACATATTAATAAAGTCTAGTTTCAGAAGTGCTATATTTATTAGCTTGGTCCTCGTTAGCATTTGGAAATGAGCTACACAGGATGTAAAGTAACATATGACCTCTTCTTACCAGCACCACAGCTGAAGTGGCTACAATGGGTGGGTGGTGAGCAACCAGTTCAATTTCTCCAATACTCATGGTGTGGAACGTATCCCAGGCCCCCAGAGCGGAGGAGCAGGGAGCTGCTCTAGGCTTGGCGCTAGGAGATGTCACTGTCACAGGCTTTAATGAGGGTCTACAGTTCCTGCTGGGTCAGCACAGATTAGCGATTGTGTCTGTGCTTCCTGGTGGATGGGAGTGTGCTGGGTAGACTCTAGGGAGGTCTCCATGATCCCAACTTCCTGGCAGTCACTTTCTTGTACGATCCCCTCTCCATGAGGGTGAGCAGGACCTGATATTTGCTTCTAAAACCAACAGAATACAGCAAAGGTGCTAGGATGCCACGTTCATATTTATATTATATAGAATCGTGACTTCTATCTTTTGAGGAGATTCTCTCTCGCTGCTTTTGAAGAGGCAAGCTGCCCTACTGTGAGCTGTTCTACAGAGAGGGCTGCACAGAAAGGAATTGAGGGTGGCTTCTAGATGACAACCTGCAAGAAACTGAGGCCCTTAGTCCAACAACCTGCAAGGAGCTGAATGCTGTCAACAACCATGTGAGCTTGGAAGTGGATCCTTCCCCAGCTGAACCTCAGATGAGCCAGCAGCCCTGGCCAGCACCTTGACTGAGCCTGAGAGCCTTGAGGCAGAGGACCCAGCTAAGCCGTGCCTGGACTCCTGACCTACAGAATCTATGAGACAATAAATGTGTGTTGTTTTAAGCTCCTAAATTTGCAATAATATTGTAACAATCAGTAGATAACTAACACAGGAGGTTAAAGGAAGTGGGGGTGAGGGAAAGTGAGTGGAGACAAGGAACAACTCAAGTTTAGGCCCCCCCAAACATTGGGCGATGATTGTGCATCATTATTCAGGGAATCGGAAGCACTGTGGTTCGGCAAAATCATGGCCAGCCTTTTGGTTTCTCACATGAGCCTCTGGGCCTTTGCACGTGCTGTCTCTTCTACTTGGCATCTTCTTCAGCCACCTCCTAGGTCTACCCACTTAATGTATCTCAGCTGTACTCACTTTCTCAAACTGAGACCACCCCCCCTCCCCAAGTGTCCCCCATCATACATTCTCGAAACACCCGGTCCAGTTTCCTTCATGTCCTGAGAAAGTATGATTTGTCATAATCAAGATATTCATTGGCATGTCTGATTGAAGTGCCAGAGGAGGTAGGATGTATAATGATTAACAGCATCAGCTGGAGTTTGCACCCAGGCTGGGCCTTCTGGCTGTGTACAGCCTTAGCCAAATCCTTTTTTCGTCTCTGGACCTCAGTGCCCTCGTTGGTCAGAGATAACTGCAGAATCTATCACTAAGAGTTACAAGCATTCAAGAAGATTATGCATTTAAAGTGCCCAGCCAATGGGACTTATTTATTATTATCAGCTGTCTCCTTTGCAAGACTATATACTCATTAAAGTCAGGACCACATCCATTTAGTTCATGACTGTGTCTTTAGTACCCACACAAGGCCTGCCACTGTATGGGAATGTTGTGCACTGCCTTTCAGTAAGGCGTGCAGTTCAATAAGATGTGTGGGAATTCTGCCTGCGGCCCCCATGTCACAGCTGGTCTCTGATCCTTCTTGGCCATCTCTCCAGGGGTCTCTGATTCAGGCCCTTCTTTCTGTGATTGTTCTGCCAAGATTGAACAGCATTACAGGCTTGTTATGGGCTTGCAAAGAGGGCTGGGTTTTCCCAGCAGTTATCTCAACAGAGGGCATGCAGGTTGAGACAGACCCACTGGCTGTTGCCTTTCTGCCAGGGGCATCAAGGGCCAAAGGAAATCAAACTTTCAGTTCTGATGCTGGAGAATTTGGAGCAGACAAAGAGGGAGACATGGGGAGAGAAGAGAAACCAACTCACCCCTGTCTCATAAATGGGGTTGTCAAACTCGGTTTCCACGGTGATCTGGCTGTAGGGGTGGGCGTACATCAGGGGCAGGCGGAGGTTGGAGTAATAGCGACATCTGGAGACAATAAAGAACAGAGAGGTTACTTCTCCCCAACTAGGAGACACCTTACAATACCGAAGGCGAGCAGCTGGTGTCACTTCCTGAGCACCAGAACCTCCACAGAGGACTGGGAGGGTGTGTGCAAACAGCCTCGAGTAGGTGAGAGGTCACGTGAGTAAAAGCTGACATAACTGCTCTTAACTTCCTGCCCCATCCGTGAGGGCCACAGCCTGGTGCTCCCCTTGCTGGGGAGGGGGTGGAGCTCCGTTTGTTTTCACACATATAGTGATTCAAGTCTCTCTGTAGTGCAAGAAGCAACAGCAATAACTGGGCATTTATTGAGCACTTTCTCTGACCACCGATTTAAAGGCGGCTCCTCTGTTACCACACACTCTCTCTTCCCTTCATGGTGTGCATCATAGTGTGTTATACTTTGTGTATTTCTCCTCTCTCCCTACTAGACTGTTGAGCCCCATGAGGCAGGAACCATTTATATTAGGGAAATGCCTGCCTCAGGACCTTTGCATGTGCCACTCCTCTGCCTAGAATCCTTTACCAGATATTTGCCTAGGTTACTTATTATAGTTTTCAAGTCCTTACACAAGCGTCATTTCTCAGTGGGGCCCCCTCTACCGACCCCATTTAAGGTGCAACCACCACCCCACCCTGGCTCTCTTTTTCTACCTGCACTTACTACCTTCTAATCTACTTCCCTTCCTTACATACTTTGCTTATTGTCTGTCTTCCCCCATTAGAACCTGGGCCTATGTGTTAAAGATTTCTTTCTGTTTTGTTCACAGTGATGTTCCCAGAGCTCAGAAAACTGCCTAGCACATAGTTAGTGCTCCATAATTGTGAATTTAAATGAATTAGTGAATATCCTGGCCATGGCTGAATATCTTCCTCCTTGATTAAAGGCAAGTTCCACAGCCCTCAATACTCGGAACAATGGTACATGTTAGACTGTCAATACGTATTTGTTGAATAAATGAATGAATGAATGGGTGATGCCATCAGTCCTGAGTCCGAGGGCCTGCAGCATGAACTCTCTCCCCCACTGAGCCATAGCTCCTAGAGGTCAGGGGTAGTGATATCTTGTTTGCTGCTGCAGAGACAGCTCTCCTACCACACAGGGCTGGTAGATGATCCATATACGTAGCTCTCCAGGAGCTGAGTTGAGTCACACCATCTGCCAATCATACAAAACCCCCGTCCCCAGGCTACAGGAGGAGACCCCGAGGCTCAGAGAGGTGAAATGCCCGGTCCCCCAGTGCACTGGTCATTGAGTAGGTGGCAACTCCCTCACCCCACCACCGTCCTGAAGTCCCCTACCTGGTGATGTAAATGTAGGCCCCTCCCAGCAGCAAGGAGATGATGAGGACCGGGAGGAAGATCGCCAGGGCCATGTTTCCCCCTTCCAGCGACGTCTCGGCTGCCGCTTCTGCTACTAAACACACAAGCCGGTGAGGCCCTCGTGTCCCGTGTGCTCAAGCTAAGCAGGTTCCTGGCTCCCAGGTGAGCACCGGCCCTCCCAGTTCTGCACCCACTCAAAGAGCTGACACCACAGGGCTTCAGACTTAGACAACCATCTACAGAGGGAAGATGAAGCAGAGCCTAGAGAAAATAGTGCTGCTTCTCTGCAACAAAGGGTGGTCGCAGGGCGCTACTGAGAGTTACACTCTACTCATCCGGATCATACCATCCCCATTTTTGGGATGGGGGTGCAGTTGAAATCTGGCTAAAATCGAATCCAAGGGAAGACTCGAAGGAAATCCCAGGTGTGCTAACTGGGCAGGCAGATTTGCTGACATTCCATGGAGAATAGGAGCTCGTTGTCCCCAAGCGGTGGGCACCTCCCAGAACTGCTCACTGAGACATCCAGGGCGCAGGGCAGCTGGGTCACTTCCCAGGGTGCACTCCCCAGTGACACCTCCAGCCGGGAAGACCCGGTTTCGATTGTCAGGGGCCACAGCTGCACACTCTCGGGTGACCCTCTTGGCCTCCCCGGAGCCTCCTGCCACCTGCCCGTGGTTTGTGGAAATTGCAAGAACTATGGTGGCTGTTGTGGGGGCTGGGGGTGTCTTCCCAGCATGGCTTGAAGGGAGACCTCACATCTCTTCCAGACAGCTGGCCTCCAGATTTCCCCTGCTCTTCTCCACGGCCACGTCTAACAGGGAGCAGCTCTATGACAACCTAGAATCCATTAACCACTGGTCTCTGGGTCTGAAAAATTGATCCTAACACCCAGGATAAATACATGAGCACAAGACATTCCAGGGGCACTCATAATCTCTGAGCAACCCAGGCCTCTGAGACATCCTCATGGTTCACTGGTGGGTGACAGTTAGTAAAGAGATTCCTGAATGGAGACCAGCACCACCAAACACTCCCCCTCTTCTCAATGGAGTGACTAATATGTGCTCCCCCAGCCCCTGAATTTGTACCCCGACTCTGGCTACTTAGATTAAAATGTCATCTGTTGCAAGAGAAAGCAACTAATGAAATGTAATTCCTATAGCCCCACATTCTGAGTGAATTATTCATTGTCAGAAAGCTAAGTGACTTCAAAAATAATAATAAAAAGTGCTTAATGAGTTCAAACTTAAAAAAAAGAAAAAGGAAATGATATATATAATTTTCCTCACATCACAGCCCGGGGGAGTGATTTTGTACCAAACTACATGGAGAATATGTACAGAATGCAGGACATTTTACATACGGCAAGTCAAAAAGGAAGGAACCACAAAACCGAAACAAAAACTGAAGCCCGGAGAGCCCTCAGCACCTGTTCCACACGAACAAATCACCCTTGGTGATTCCTAATGAATGGAGGACAGAAAACGAGGCGGGTACAGGGACAGGAGTGTTGGGGACAAGAAAACTGAGGCGAAGGCACCCAGAGCTCCCTGGGCAGACCTTTCCTTCCCCAAACCAGTAGGATACTCAGCAAAGAAGGCGAGGCAGCTCTGGGGTTAGTTTCCCAGCACAGTCCCGTGTGGGTGAAAAGTCTCACAGCAGGAGCGTGCCTTTCTCGGGCATGCGGACCCCCAGACTTTCCCGGCCTCATGAACAGAACTGGCACCACACCCCTTTCAGGTCGTAGTTAGGACCTACATTGCCAATTCAATGATTTTTTTTTTTCTGTACAATATCATTTCTTTTGAAATTATCTTCAGCAGTGTGAAGGCACAATTCTTGCTTATGTTTCTGAAGCACTCAGATAAGGATATCCAAGGAGCTGCCCTCATTTTCTGCAATTAGCTTGACTTACTGGATTTTTTTTTTTGTCAGGGAACTCACCTTCTAAAGCGTGTTCAAAACTGTCCTGATTAACTGAAAAAGAAATTGGAAACATCGGTTAATGTTAAGTGAGTTTACTCTGCTGGAAATGACACCCCCGAAAATTGGGAGCAAACGCCCATATGCCACACTTGGATGAAGTCAGTGCTATTTACTGGGGGCTGGTGGGAAAGAGAGTGGGCATGCCTGGCTATGGAAGGTCAGCGGCAGTAATGGTGAATAATCACTGAACACTCACTCTCTGTCAAATAGGTGCCGAGAGCTTTGCATACACACAGCTGCTCATCTAATCCTCGCAACAGTCTGTTAGGTAGATTCCTGTATCACCCCCATCTTACAGATGAGCAAACAGAGGTGCCGAGAGGTGAAGTGACTTCTCTGGCATCAGTTCTAAGTGATGGAGGCAGGATTACACCCCGACTGCCTGGCCTTCTCTAGCCTCTGCTCTCCACTACGCAGTTCTGGCCTTTCTTTGTTTCCAGGTAGGACAAAGGCTGCTGAACGGTGAGGCTGAAGACACAACCCCAAATCCAAAATGCAGCCGGTGGTGAAACTGTTTTCCTGCTTTGAAATACATGTATATATGGACCTTTCTAATTTCACTTTCATTCCATATTTATTTGACTAGAATTTATATTTCTTATACAACTCTTTTCATTCACTGCACAGACTAGGACTCCCTGGAATCCACTCATTTCCCTATAGTCCCTGTAAAACTTCTCTGCAAGTTCAAGATGGTGGGATTAGCATCTCCATGCTTTGGCATCAAAGACATTATGATAGTTGAGCACAAAACATAATGCTCACACAACGGGTGTCAAGGATTCAAGACCCCAGGGGGAGGGGCTTACATAAAAGATTTCATGACATGGGAGCAGGAGTGGGTGGCCACCAAAGGCCCAGTTATCTCATATTCTACCTAATGACAATCTAATAATTGTCATGGTCAAAGTCTCTCTGACTTATGCCACTACTACGGGATGACAACAGAACCATTGGTAAAGCTATTTTACTAACTAGCTAATGAACTGAAGGTATCTTTGGAACTAGGGCCTAAGGGAAATGGAAATCCTGGGGCAGTTGCTTCTCACCCAAGAGGAGCTGGACTTTGGTTGCCTGCGTGGCGTGCACCGTCCCCCATGGATATTAGACCTAGAAGGAGGCACTGAATGTGTATCCCTTACAGTGTGGGCAGTCAGGCATCTGGGGATCTGCTGTTCAGGTTCCCAAGTAGAAATTGAAAACTGCACGCTTCTGTTTTACCTGGGGAGAGAATTCTGAGCTTTCTACCTGATTCTCCAAGGGATATTAATGCTTCAAAATGTTAAGATCCACTAGCCTAAAAAGCATTGAATGTATTTAGGATATCAACATTAATTACCTCAAAGACCTAGATAAATGGATCCTAATCTCACTGAATGTGTTGCAACTTAATTTCAATGATGAGTATATTTCATTGATAACTGAAGTCCGTTTCCCCTCTTTTTACCCTCTCTGAGATGGGGGTGACTTACATCCAAGCTGTGTTTTATCGATGCCACCAGGTGGCGCTCACGACGCCTGTGAGCGCATTACAGCCTGGGCATCAGAACAGGGGAGCAGCCCTCCTAACCCTTGGGAACCCAGTGGTTGTGAGAAGCGGGTGCAAGAGGCAAGAAACGTGGAGGCCACGCCGTTGAAGCAGGAGTCAAAAGCAGAATGGCTCTCCTTTATGAAAATCTAAACTTGAAAAAGCTCTTTCAGTAAGTAAAAATAAAAATGCTCAGCAAGGAGAAGGCAGAGTGCCATAGTTTAATTGACAGCATTTTTTTCTCTTTCTCAGTGGTGCAGAAAATAACAGCGGTATCTTAGATAGAATGAAATACAGTAGCTCTGCTGTTGAGAGCAAATTCAGAATTCCAGCAAGCGGGTCCTGACGTATCCTGGTCCCTCAGCCCCTGCATCGTGAGCAGCTCCGTTACCTTTACAGACGGGCAGCGGCCCGTTCCAGTGCGATGGCTGCCCCAGGATGCACCGGATGGTCACTTCGCCCATGAGCTCGAAGCCTTCGTAGCACATGAAAGTGAGGGACTCTCCCGGCAGGTAGAGCCTCTTGTACAGGATCTGGTACCCGTTCTCCGGCAGTCCCGGGTTGTCGCAGGCCAGGGACTCCTCCGCTGAAAGGCAAGCCGAAGGGGCTCTGATGAGATAGTGCGGGTCTTCAGGGACGCTGACTCACAGTGCATGTGATCTGGCTTGCACACCCTCACGAGCGCCGTCTCTCTACATCCCCGCCTCACTCGAAAGGAGTCAAAAACAGAATTTGCCGAGCTCACCTTTCACTCTCCTAGCTCTGGGCACACAGGGCCGCGGTAGAAGGCACTAGGATGTGGAATCTGGATTAGAATCTGGGTTCTGCTACTTACTGACACAGTGACCTCCAGCCAGAGCCACACCCTCTCTGAGCCTCAGTTTCCTTGTCAGTAAAATGGGACTAATAGTGGTACGTATTCCACAGGGATCTGGAAGATTGAGTAAGATGAATGTAAAATGTTTGGCATGTATAGGTACTCAGGGAATGATGGATGGTGGTGTGAAATTATGAAATATTCTTCCTGCTTCTCACCTTATGCCCACCCAGCCAAACTAAGCCTGTGAGTAAGCTTCTGTGACAAAGGCTGTAGGAGACCAGATTGTATACAATTTGCTCTGCCTGCTCCATGGACTTGCTTGGGGGGGGAGCTTGGTCAGCAGTGGAACACCAGAGCTTCCCTCTGAGGCTGAGGTGGCAGTGATGAGGTGGGAAATGAAGCTTTTGGGGTTAGTCAGGCTTGAGCAGGAATCAAGGGTTTGCCCCTTCTCTGCTGTGTGACCTCAGGAAAGCTACTCACCCCCTCTGGGCCTCCTTTGTCTGCTTTTAAGTGGACACTTGTACCAGCCAGGCACTTTTGTGAGGGTGAAATGTGTTAATGTTGGGAAGGGCCTTTGAACATCAAAAGTGCTCAACAAATGGGCCTGTTCCCCTTGTTCAGCAGAGGAAACATTTTAAAGCTGTTTTGTGTCCAACAGCTTCGTCCTTAAAAATACCCTGTACAATCTCCCTCTAGCTCCCGCACCTCGCTGCTAGCATTTGACTGTCCCCTGCCTTCCGTATCATCTCTGACAGCCTCCTGCCTCTCACGTTGCTGGAACCACACGCTGGGCTCTTCCTCAGGCTTCTGGGAGGGTGGCGTGTCTCCCGACACCTGGCTCGGCTCGTGAACTCATTAGCATGGGTGTCAGGGAAGCCCTCTCCCGTGAGCTGCAGATCCTGGGCTGAGATTTTCGGGTGCGGCGGCCCCAGAGGGAGGGAGTGAGGGAGGCAAGCCTCCCGGAGACCCAGCAGCCACTGCTGCAGCCCAGACGGTCTTTGGAGGCTGTGCCTCATTAGTGAGGTGTCTTTTTTTTTTATTTTTAAAAATCTTATCTCCATCTCTCAGTACTTTTAAATAAGCTTTTATTTATAGCTTTTCATCTCTGGGTCTCAGCCACTTGAGCAACTCAGTTCAGTAATTCTGATTGTCCTTTACAGTCGCCAGGAGGCAGGCGGAACAGCATTTGTGTCCTGGGCTGCCTTCACGACGTGCCACAAACTGGGCACCTTAAGAAACCCCGAGATTTATTCTCTCACAGTTCTGGGGGTTAGAAATGTGACATTGAGGGGCCACGCTCCCTCCAAAACCTGTGTGGGGACCTTTCCTTGCCCCTTCCAGCTTCTAGGGGGCGTAGCTGCACCCGCCGGAATTCTGTCACCACCCGGCAGCCTCCCTATGTCTGGGTCTAAATTTCCCTCTTCTTACAAGGACACCTGTCCCTGGGTTCATGCCCATGCTAATCCAGCACACCCTCACCTTTCCCTGATCATATCTGCAAAGACCCTCCTTTCAAAAAGGGTTCCAGTGTCAGGAACTGGGGGTTAGAACTTCAACATCTTTTCTCAGGGGATGTAATTCAACCGCTAAGAGAAATGTGAACTTGGCCCAAAGGTCTGGAGACTAGGAGGGGACGAGGCTGTGGGTAGGGGTTTAAGGCCACAGGCTACAATACCTCTGGGCCGTCCCTGCATGGGTTTGCACCCTGCCACTCACAGTGAGATGAGGGCAGGGGCAAGGCTGGGTGAAGGGGCAGTGGATGCAGAGACTGGAGCCCCCAATTTACCTCCTAGCTCTGCCCACGAATATGGGCCTTAACCATATTTTCCTTCGAGTCTGTTTCTTTTACACACACGTACACACACATTTACTTATATACGTACAGTTGACCCTTGAATAATACAGGTTTGAACTACATGGATCCACTTATATGCAAATTTTTTGCAATAAATATATTGGAAAAAATTTTGGAGATTTGCAATGATTTGAAGAAACATTCTTTTTTTTCTGACTTTATTGTAAGAATACAGTATATAATGCATATAATGCACAGAATATGGGCTCATCGACTGTTTATGTTATTGGTAAAGCTTCTGGTCAACAGGAGGCTATTAGTACTTAAGTTTTGGAGGGGTCAAAAGTTATGTGTGGATTTTCAATGGTGCAAAGGGTCAGTGCCCCTGCCCTTTGTGTTATTTAAGGGTCAACTGTGTGTATGTATAAAATCTGCTTTGCAATGTGTTTTACACGTGCAGTAAATGGTAATTATTACCTGTCTTTCACTCTGAGCTTTAGTTTCCTTAATATATATGCACACATACACACATATATACATACTGCATCACATATTCATATACATTCATAAATACACATAATGGCCTAGCAAAATGTCTTAACAATCAGTAATGACTATTATTATCTGTAAAAAGGGTCAGTTGTATCTTATCTCCAAATTACCTCTCAGTTGTACAGTATTTTACCTCCCGGGTTCCCTCCAGCTGTGAAATTCTAGGACTCAGCCTAGAGGGGCAGATGGAACACAGGGCATGTGGTTCTACATTCCTTGTTTGGTGTGAAAACAGAATAATAAAGTTCTCCCTTTTTCTGTGCAGGAGCTTTTAATTTTGATGTAGTCTTACTTGCAGCATCTAGAGTTCGAGCTGGCTGTACCCTGAATGGGACTGTTTACAACCCACCCACATAAAATAGTACTGCTGCTGATGGCTTCTAAACTCCCAACATTGCGGGAGGCTTCTGGGCCTTCAGGGCAGCCTCCCGGTTCTCTTCAGCAGAGGTGCTGATTGCTAGCTGCACGAGAGAGAGACTGGGAGCTTCACAAAACCTCGCCACCCAGGCCGATCCCAGCCAGCTGCCTTGGGATCCCCAGGGACTCCTAAAGCGTCCCAGCTGACCCCCACGCGCTCAAGGCTGCGACCCTGGACCACGGCTCTCCACCTCTTCTGCCTGGGAAGAGGAGCAACTTCTCCATCCTCAGAGAGCCCTTGGAAGCCTTTTATGAGGTTTTACGGGTAAGAAACCCCCAGAGTGTTTTTTAAACCAAACATTTGCTTTGGGGGCTCCATGCAGATGAGGCCGAAGAGAGTTTAAACCCAGCCTGCTTGTCCCTGCGGACTGCTCCGTTTTCAGCCGAGTCAGGCAGGTCTGGTCTCTACTTTGAACTCGCTGTGTGGCCTGGAGCAATGATTTTACCTCTCTGAACCTTAGTAGCCGCTTCTGAAAATGGAGACCACATGCCACACCCACACGGCTACTCCAGGAAGCAGAGAGGGACATTTGGCAAAGGATTTAGCGCAGAGTCTGATACGTTTCCTGTCAATGTTACAGTATTCATGCCTTCGATCTGTGCTAGCTATTGTGTGATAGCAATAACAGAGAATGCGCCCAAAGGGTGGAATGGCTCCTGCAAGCAGCCCCGCCCTCCACCGTGGGTAAGAGGAAACCTGCGCCTCCCGCAAGCTGACAAACAGGACTCACAAACGCAGTGGGGCAGGCGAGACGTCCAGATGGGAGTGCCGGTTTCACGGCTGTAGCAGGTCAGAAGAGAGCTCCCCTCCAGCACAAAGCCAGGGTTGCAGGTGTATTGGATGGTGGTGCCCACCAGCAGAACAGGATCCGAAATTAAGCGGGTCGAGTGGTCCACTTCTCCAGGGTCGGTGCAGTACATAACTACACAGGATGAAAGCAGACCAAGTGGGCATTCGGTCCCTTACTATTACAGGTTTGCTCAGTACTAAAGAATGATCTAGAAAGTTTGCTTAGGTCTTTTCCTGTTTGGAAGGTGATGCATCTGTGTGCATCGGAGATGGCTGGAGAACAGGCCGGGATGAGAGACACTGGAAATGTTTGCATCAGGGCCCAAAGATGTATGTGCAAAGTGGTACACTGCACCATTAGTTGTAATGGTTGAAACAGAAAAATAATGCAAATTCTCTAACAGGGGAATAGTTAAAAAAGAAACAGCCATTCCATGAAATCCTGAGCAACTGCAAAAGAGAACAAAGTGAGGGGCGCCTTTGCCATTTTCATTTTAGTGCCTGAGTATAATAAAAGAACCACTCATTACTTTTTAATGAAAAAAAAATCAACATAGATAAACCACAATAAACCAATGAGAAAAGAATGAAGTAAACAACATGGGTGATATGCAAAGTTATCCGTATTTCAGAGTTGGGTAAACAGCAGTTGCAAGGCAGTTTTGTATAAATTGACCCTTATTATAGAAAAATAGCCATATCTGTGACTATTTCTTTATATATTCCTATACATGTCTGTATATCCGTGGCACATACACACATACATGCACATACATATGTGTAAAACACCCATACACACGCTAACTGTTTGTGTGGCTGATTTTGTGGACTTCTAGCAGGTTCTTTCATGGTCCTCACAATTGTAATAAATTTTCTTTGACACTAGAATATTTATGTCAGGAATTGTACCCTCTTTCTCTGCTCACACTTAGCATTTCTTATTGTGCAACTGGTAAATCAAGTCATGTTGATAAGTCTACCAAAGTATCACCAAAGACTCCCAGTAAGAGAGTTGAAGACTAGAGCTTTAAGTAAGAGGAAGGAAGCAAACAGCTGGGGGAAGAGGCCACCTCCATACACAGCTCCTCTCCCTGCTACCAAGGTACCAGAAGAGAAACCAGAAGCACTTCTTTTTTGTCAAGATATTCAACTCAGCTGTCACCAGACATGCCTGGCCTGTGGTCCTGAGGGGTGCTGGGAGAAGGAGCCAGGAGAGGACCAGGATAGACACTCTCTGGATGGAGTTGGTTACCCATTACAGGGATTTTGAATGGGGGCTCCAAGGTCCAACTGAGATTTGTTTTGCTTGGCTACTACCAGTATTTTAAAGACCTCAATTTGAATGATGTTTTTTCACAGGTTACATACATTCCCATCTACCGCAGTCTACACCACTCCCTATTGTCTCCTGCCCTGTCTATTTCACTCATTTACATTATCTGCCAGGCTTCTGAAGGCACCTGCATCTGAGATCTCTGTTCTAGGGCTACAAAATGACATTTGTGAGCAGTGGTAACGAGTTAGTGGAGTAGGAGGGGGGCCTGGTTCTATGTTAAATAATCCCACCACACCCACACAGAAAGCACTCCATGGGAGGGATGGGCCGCTGTTGACCTAGAGGAAGAAAACAAGACTATTCTTACTTTTCTCACAAAACGGGGGGTCGCTGCTCCAGCTGAGGTCCCACTGGCAGGTGAGGGTGTCGCTCCCCACGAGGTCGTAGCCAGGGTCACACTGGTAGGTGATTCTGGCTCCCCTCACGAGCTCTGTATGAGAAGTGGTTTTCCAGCCGTTCTGGATCTCAGGCAAATCTGAGCAGGAGTCATTCCTTGACACCTCTTTAAAACAAAAACATCATCCTTCGATGGGGAGGTGGCCTGTTTGTTTGGGGAGGTTCCCTTTAAAGATGTCAGAGGGAAGAGCAAATAGAAGAAAAAGCCTCCAGAAGGAAGGAAGACACTTCCAAAATACCTTACACTGCGGGAACTCTTCTGTAAAGAGACTTTACAGTGATCCCTTCCTGTAGGCCACTAAACTTACCCAGCATTCTCTTGTTTATTGATGTCAGTTGAGGCTTTACAGTCAGATAAAATCCTAGCTCTGCTCTGCCACTTACTAGCAATGTGACTGGGGTACAATAACCTCTCTCTGTGTCTCAGGTTCTTCGACTTTCATGAGAGCATAATCATGATAGTGCCTGCCTCATGGGGCAGCCAACTTATAAGATGCCCCCAGTTATTCTCATCTCCTGGGGTTCATATTCTTGTGTAGTTCCTGCCAACACTGAACAGGGCTGACGTGTGTAACCAATATGCTATTGCAGAAGTCATGGTGTGCGATTCCGAGGCTAGGTCGAAAAAGACATTAAGGCTTTCTCCCTACTCTCTCATATCACCGTCTGTGGAGGAAGCAGCTGCCATGTTATAAGGATGCTCAAGCAGCTCTGTGGAGAGATCCACGTGGAGAGAAGCTGAGGCCTCTTGCCAACAATTGGCATTGACCTGACAGCCACTTGAGTGTCCCATTTTGGAAGTGGAGCCCCAGTCAAGCCTTCAGATGGCTGTAGTCCTCCCTGACGTCTTGACTACAGCCTCATGAGAAACCCCAAGCCAGAATCAGCCAGCATTAACTCCTGAATTCCTGGCCTACAGAAACTGTGAGGCAATCAATGTTAATTGCTAATTTGGGGGAGTAGTTTGTTACACAGCAATAGGTAGCTAATACACTCAGCCTCATTCTAAGAATGCCTGTAATTTGAAGGGTTTGATAGATTAGTAATAGATATTTTTATAGTACATATAAAGATATTTAATTATTAAGATAAATATTTAACTACTAAAAATAATTATTAGTGCATTCTTCAAATCACATTGCATATCACCAGTGAACCCAGAAAATGCTACCCATAGCTTATTATCATGTGTCTTCCCCTGTTTTTCCTTTTGCAAACTCTCATTACTAAGGCAGCAATCCAAAGCCCACTATTGCTATTCTTGCTTCCAAGTGCCCACTGCACAGATTTTGAGAAGACAGCTAATTATGTTGTATAATTAATTTGCAGTTCTCATGTGCTTTTGGGGAAAGCAAAGCACCTCCATTGTCTGCAGGAAAGTCATTCTGAGAAACCAGCAGTGGATTTTCCCGGGATTTCATCATGATTTTATATGGGGAAAGGGAAAGGCGATCTCATGGGTGTCTGCAAGATGAAGGGGAGAGGGAAACGGCTTCTAGAATTGCTTAATGGGGAACAGGAGCCTCTATTTTTAGGTCTTTGAAAAATCAGCCAAGCCCTGGATTTGGGACACAGCTGCAAGTGCTCAAACTATGGATGAAAGGGGAGAATCGGGGGGAAATACTGGATATGTGGTGTGTCTTGTGCCAAATGCTTTGAGACCAAGAAAGCTTTACTTGTCTGACTCTATCATCCGAGCCAACATAGCCACACATTCCCGTGGGACCTGCCATCTCTGGCATTCACTACATTTGTGATCACTCAGTTGCTGCCACCATGTAGCAACGTCTCGACTCAAATCTGGTCCCCACTGTTTACTAATTCAGTGGCCTTGGCTAAGTCTCTTAGCCTCCCTGTCCTTCAGTTCCTAGACTCCATCCAAGAGACCCTGATTCAGGTATCTGCATGTTTACCTAAGGTGAAGGTTCTGGAATTATCTGCCCTTATGGGCTTCTTAACTTTTCTAAGTATGAGAAAATTGGTCTACAAATTGGAGAACTACCCTTCTTTTCTCTTTCCTTCTTTCTTTTAGAAGCTGTGTGACTTCAGTCATCTCAATAAACATCTCTGAGCCTTGTCATCAATCACAGAGACAAGAATCACAACCCTGTCTATCCCTAAGGGCAATGTGAAAACTAATTAATGTGCAGGATTTGAAATGAACACTAAGATGCGTTATATGGACTTACTGGTTTGCTTGACTAAGATTTTGTGAGCACACACCACATGCCAGGCACTAGAAATACAGGGATCTGAAGTCACGGTTCCAACTCTACAGTCAAGGTCAGCACCGTGGTCCAAATTCTGGACAAAAGAAATACCCAAATGCACTTAATGCATGCCACCATTTTCCATTTGAGTTTAGCTGAGCTTATTTATTATTGTAGGATTATTTACTGTGGAGCTTATTTATTATTTTAGGATGATGAGAGGAATAAACCCACAAGTGACTAATAGCCCTTTGAAAACACTGCCTGCTCATCTCTGCTTTTTTATCCCTTTCCCTCCCAGGTACTTGGCCACAAACATTAGCAAAGCACAAGAAACAGTGAGGAGAACTGACCTTTGCTTTTGTCTGTGCAAAGGCGGATTATGGACGGTTAGAACCACGTAAGCCCAGAGCGCTCCTACGGAAGATTCTGACAGCAGTCAGAGCAGGTAAGTCTTGATTACCTTCCAGAGCTGGGTTTAGGCCTTGAGATCAATCTAGGAACTCCAGAATTCTCTGGGTGACCACAGAAACCCCTCACCCTTCCCTCCGGTCCCCCTCCTGAATGGGAACTGCATCTGTATCTGGTCAAATCCAGGCCCAGGAGAGCATATACGTCTCCCAGGCCGTAGCAGACATCACGGATCATTCACGGCATTCTTCTCCACTGACGACAGGGATGGCCTCCTCTGAATTCTTTCCAATGTGCTCTTCAACACGGATAGTCACAATCAAAACTAAACACAGAGGCCTACTTGCCTTTCTTGTGAAATTATCCACGTGCTTCTTCAACAGAAATAAGAACAAATGGAAATGTTTTCTCTCTTTTTGTATTACCCACGCTAACCAGGCTGTGTATCCCTGGGACGTGACCTCTGAAATCCTGTGCTGGCCTCTCTCACAGCATCCGCACATGATCCTGACACTGCAAACAGTCTGTCCCTTTTTCACTAGCTGGGCCAAGGGCAGGGACAGCATTCTATTTATTCCTATGTCCCCGCACCTAGCGCAGGGCCTAGCGCAGAAGAGATGTAGAGAGATTTTTGTGAGCCAAATTCCCTGGAAAATGGAGATAATGCATTTGAAGATGAAATAAATACAATATATGCAAGAGTGCTTGCCAACATCAAATTGTCACACAAATTTGAGTTTCAGCTTCAATTAACAAGAGCACCCTCCTCTTCAAGATGTTGCCAAGATGGACGTTGGCCAGACTTTCTGGTCAACCTTGAGCAGCCTTGGATGGAGTCAGCTTTCTGCTATCAAGCTGGGTGCAGTTTTGAAAGACCGACTCAGTCACCAGAGGAGACAAATGAGCAACACTATGACCTCATCTTCCAACCGGCAGGGGCGGGGGAGTGTCTTACTTACACATGCATAGGCTCTTTGAGATGCCAACAGCCAGGGAAGTATTTTGGAGGCAGGAGGTGGTACCCAGACAACAGTTACAGTAATAGAGATGGGCCAAGCGTCAAGCTGAGGGGAAGAAAGAACCAATGACATGGTATCTTACGCAAGCCAGAGGGTCCTTGGTGGTGCGGGTGGTAGCAGGGAGATGTGGCAGGATAAAACCGCCTTTTCCCTGTTTCATGCTGGAACTCAGGATGTCAACTTTGCTCCTGGGGAGGGGGGTGCAAGCAAGTCCCCCAATTGCTGGCTGAATCCTGCCCATTGAAATCCTCAGGATGCAATCACCCAGCATTTGGGATGCCAGAAGAACTTAGGTCTTAATTACCCCCGTGTATCTCCCACGTTCTCTGCTACTGGCAAGAATATTGGGGATGAAGAAACCCTAAGAGCTGGGAGCCAGGAAGCCAGGGTGGGAGCCCCAGGTCCACTCCCGGTGAGCGAGTCCCTTACCCTCCGGTGTCCAGGGCTGCTTGTGCAGTGACACAACAGGCTTGGACCAGTTGCACTGTCAATTTCAGTCCCTTCCAGGACTAGGATGGGTGAGACCTTACGGTGTTCCTGTCCCCTGACCACTGGGGATGATGGCAGCTTGGATGAGAGTGATGGTCAGGGGAAGATGGAGAAAGTGCTTGGATTTGAGGCATATTTGGAGGTTGGGTTGAGAGGATGGATTGGGCATGGGGCAAGGAAAGAGGAGGCAGCCTGAGAAGCCAGGAGAGTTGGGGCTCCACCTCCTGGGATGGGCAGAGAGCAGAGAAGCCGTCGGGTGGCCGTGGTGGGGAGACAGGGAGAGAAATAGTTCTGTTTGCCTGTGTTAAACCTCAGATGCAATTAGGTATGTGCAAGAGGGTTGTTGCCAGGAGTTGGATGGATGAATCTGGGGTTCATGAGAGAGGTCCAGGCTCGGGGGGCACGTGTTTAAAGCCCCAGGACTGGATGAGAACACACAGTAGGGGAGTGTAGACGGAGGGGAGGACAGGCTCCAAATGGAGCTCGGGACCCTCCTGGGCTGAGCAGAGGAGGGTGATGGAGCCAGCAATGAATCAGGGGGAGTTACAGTGAGTAAACCGGGGAGCGAGGTGGAAGAAGAGGGTATCGGATGATCAAGTGTGAACTTAGCTTGACTTCAGTTACAGGTTTTTGTTTTTAAGATGAAGGGGAGAGATACGGTTTTGAAGCCACAGTGAGGATGCAGAGAGACGCCCCCTGCACCTGCTCGTCCTAAAGCACAGGAGGTGGGTGAGGAAGGGCTGTCTGCCCCGGAGGGAGCTGCCGTGGAGAGGAATCCTCAGGCGGGTGGGGGCCGAGCGTCAGTTCAGGCAAGACGGTGGCAATGTTCTTTGAGAAGATGCAAATATAAAGTCCCACTTGACGAGAAATGAAACATGATGGATCTTCAAGTTATGAGGCATTATCTACCCAAGTCCTGACATCAACCCTGTGGAGGAGGTATCCCTATTCCCATTTTACAGATGACAAAAAGGAGGTTCAGAGGGGGTAAGCAACCTGGGGAAGTCACACAGCCATTGATGGGAAGACTAGGACTCCAACCCTGGTCCTTGTGACTGAAGAGCCCAAGTCCTTAAAAACCACATATATTTACTGTGCCAATATATTAAAAGATCTGTGTAGCACAACACCCCCACCCCCAGAAAAAGACATGTCTAGAGAAAATCATCAAACACAAAGCAGAAATTCACCAGATGAAACACCTACCTATGTAGTTCATGATGAATCCTTGGCCCTTCCCGAAGATGAGGCCGGCTGGATCCGAGCGAAACTGGATGGTGAGGTCCGGCGTGGAGGAGTACAGCCTCTGGGGGCCACTGTTCCCAGGGTACTGCCCCAAAATGTGGGGCGTGACCTCGTCACCGTCGTAGACGGTCAGGATGTCACTGCTGCTCAGGTTCAGGCTTCCGGGGCGGAGAGAAAAGGAGGGTTCTCATGAAGCCTGGTGATGGTCATGCAACAAAAGCCTTTATTTTTTTTTCCGGCAACACACACTTTCTTGAGACATACTGTGTGTCAGGCCCCAGCCCGGGAACTGGGGGTGAGGTCGGCATAGACTGTACATGAGACCGGGACATGCCCATCCTTCTGACAGGCAGGGCGCGTAGATTTATGGGGGGACTGGGCTTTTGAGGAACCATCCATGAAATGATCTTCTCTGCATGGTGCTCAGTGCAGAGTCAGACGCTGCCTTGTAAGTGGAATTGCCTTCCACACCCCCGTCATTAAGCACCTTTTCCTGGGTGAAGCTAAGTGTCGGACAGGAGGCCACATGCTGGGGGCGTGACACTAGTGTTTCGTTCTGCTTTGATGCAGAGCAAGCTGACGGCGTGCTAATTATAACTCGCCTTGGGAGTGAGGGGAAATGATCTCTCCATTTATTATGCGGCAAGTTCCTCATCATAAACTGGGTTATCTGTTATGTTTGGGGCATGAGGCACAGGGTGGGAGGGAGGCATTTTGAACTATTCTCGAACTGGCTGTCACTATTTGTAGCGTTAAAGGTTTTCAAAGGCTTGAATGCAAGCAAGTCACTTTCCCTATTCCCATTTTACAGATGACAAAAAGGAGGTTCAGAGGGGGTAAGCAACCTGGGGAAGTCACACAGCCATTGATGGGAAGACTAGGACTCCAACCCTGGTCCTTGTGACTGAAGAGCCCAAGTCCTTAAAAACCACATATATTTACTGTGCCAATATATTAAAAGATCTGTGTAGCACAACACCCCCGCCCCCAGAAAAAGACATGTCTAGAGAAAATCATCAAACACAAAGCAGAAATTCACCAGATGAAACACCTACCTATGTAGTTCATGATGAATCCTTGGCCCTTCCCGAAGATGAGGCCGGCTGGATCCGAGCGAAACTGGATGGTGAGGTCCGGCGTGGAGGAGTACAGCCTCTGGGGGCCACTGTTCCCAGGGTACTGCCCCAAAATGTGGGGCGTGACCTCGTCACCGTCGTAGACGGTCAGGATGTCACTGCTGCTCAGGTTCAGGCTTCCGGGGCGGAGAGAAAAGGAGGGTTCTCATGAAGCCTGGTGATGGTCATGCAACAAAAGCCTTTATTTTTTTTTCCGGCAACACACACTTTCTTGAGACATACTGTGTGTCAGGCCCCAGCCCGGGAACTGGGGGTGAGGTCGGCATAGACTGTACATGAGACCGGGACATGCCCATCCTTCTGACAGGCAGGGCGCGTAGATTTATGGGGGGACTGGGCTTTTGAGGAACCATCCATGAAATGATCTTCTCTGCATGGTGCTCAGTGCAGAGTCAGACGCTGCCTTGTAAGTGGAATTGCCTTCCACACCCCCGTCATTAAGCACCTTTTCCTGGGTGAAGCTAAGTGTCGGACAGGAGGCCACATGCTGGGGGCGTGACACTAGTGTTTCGTTCTGCTTTGATGCAGAGCAAGCTGACGGCGTGCTAATTATAACTCGCCTTGGGAGTGAGGGGAAATGATCTCTCCATTTATTATGCGGCAAGTTCCTCATCATAAACTGGGTTATCTGTTATGTTTGGGGCATGAGGCACAGGGTGGGAGGGAGGCATTTTGAACTATTCTCGAACTGGCTGTCACTATTTGTAGCGTTAAAGGTTTTCAAAGGCTTGAATGCAAGCAAGTCACTTGACACTAATATTTGGACTGCAATGGGCAGTTAATAACCAGAAGCACTTCAGTATGTCACAGAGACAATGTGCTGTGTAAGGTGTCCTGGAGAAAATTGGTCCCCGATGGACAGAACGCCAGAGAATTCGGCTTTGGCTGCATCCGTCACGGAGAGAGATGAGCTCATGCCTCTTTCCTCCCTCCCTTTCTTTCTCATGTCTTTCTCTCTTTCTTGTATCCCTCTCCCTGATATTTTTGAGCACCTACTGTGTGCCAGGCACTGTGCTGTGCTCAGGTGATGTGAGAGACATGGAGCAGTGGTGTACTGAGACTGACAGCCAGGGGCTGGGGCGGGAGTTACGGTCAAGGTGTTTGGAGGGGCCAAGGATGGGCTGCCCCCACATGTGTCCCTTTGACGTACTGATGACTTGGAATCCAAAGATACTTAAGAGACAGCCAGTTCAGGAACACTCTGACCTTCCTTTGTCTCCAGAAAGCAGGAAATAAATCTACCATAGGAACAGAAAGGGAATGGGAGATAAAGAAACATCCTTACCACCAGAGAGAGGGATTTCAGAGCCAAGAAGGCTGTACAAACAAACCTTGTTATTTTTCCTCGCTGAGGACCAGCCCAAATGCTGTTTAGAATTCCTTACTGCTTGAAGCTCCTAAACATGTTTCGTTCGTCCCACCAATTTCCTCCCAAATTTCCTGTCTCTTTGTCTAAAAAGTATAAAACCTACATACCTTGCTCATTTCTTAACCTCTCAATTTCATTATTGGGCCTTTGTGTGCATGTAATTAAACATATATTTTTCTTTGTATTTTTCTCCTGTTCATCTGTCTCACATCATTTGATTCTCAGACCAGCTGAAAGGAACTTGAAAGGTTGAGGAACACTTTTCCTGCCCAACAGCATACACTCAGAACGGGGGCATCAGGGAGGCCTCCCTGGAGGAGGTGATGCTTGCTTTGGATCCTCAAGAAAAAGCAGGGGAGGGCGAGGCAGGTAAGCGGCGGGTGGAGAGAAGGTAATGCACAAGGCAGAGGGAAGAGGCGAGTGAGGCCATGGCTCCTGATGGAACCTGCCTGGTGATCCATGTGCCCAGGATGGGTACAGACCCAGAGCCTGGAGGCTGCAGGAACCAGCCTGAGAAGCACTCAGAGAGCCAAGCGTAAGCATTTGGATGTCATCCTGCTCAGGAAGGGAGACCCTGAAGGGGGCATCCTGACTGAGCACACCATTGCCAGGGGAGAGGCATCCTGGAGATGTTCCTGAGCAGGCTGGCAACCGCTCTCCCCGGGCAGCTTCATCCGGCGCCCAGGGGCCGTGCCTGCTGCTGGTCTGGGAGGGGGCAGGTGGGCTGGAAACCCTTTACACTGCATCAGTTTATGAGCAAACAACAGAAACACAAGGTAGCTGCTGCAAGTGTGTTTCCAGAGGGCAGGGGATGCATCTTATTCTCCACAATATCCTCCTCCACCGAGTCGTGATTCCTCATGTCAGCTTGGCCAAGGGGTGGCTGAGGGGGGCTCTAATTGCCCCTGCACCCTCCGTGAACTTCCTGTGGATCACTTCCAAAACATCTTTTCCTAATAAAAGCTGCCTGCTTGCTTTGCACACATGGCTTAAAGACAAAGCCCCTAGGTACCTTCTACCCCATGCCAGTTTCCAATAAACCCCTCTATTGTATTAACATTCTGGCGTTGCCACCTTTTCTTGCACACAAACAGTGCTTAATAATTGCTATGATATCAAAGAGCTTGCCAGAGTCTACTTGACAGAAGAAATAGTGGGATTGATGTCAGCTCTTGACCAATGGTAGGGAAGAGCTTCTTAACTCTAAGTGTCATGAAAGCATCAATGGCTCATGAAAGCGCCGGATTAGGCTAGTGTGAACCATGGTAGATGGGTGATATTTATTCCTTAAGCTGACTTCACAGCTGATCTGCTGGTAACAGTGGGCTCCAGACAGTGCCCAATGTTGGTTTTCTTCTATCAGTCATTTCAATGATCTAAATGCAATAGAAACATCTTCAAGGGTGCAGATAGCTTTCATGGTCAAACCCTAGCACAACTCTTTTGTTCTTTGTAAAACAGAAAGCGGCAGCATGCTGGAGAGAGCACACAGCCTTGGGAGTCAGAAAGCTTTAGCTTGATTCTTGGCTCTGACACTTCCATAAAGGGCATGGGGTTCTTCTGAAGTTCCTTGCCTGTCAACTGGGCTTCATATTTCCTGTCTATGTCATGGGCTTTCCGCGGGAGGTGAGGCATGCAGAAAATCTGGAATCAGATTCCAGATTCACTGACACTACCTGAGCAAGCCTGGTTGGATCATTAGAATGTGGTGTCATATTGTAATGCCATCATGGACATCATCCCCATCACCCTCACGCTCACCACCACCACCGCCACCACCACCACCACCCTCCCCATCACCACCATCATCCCCATCACCATGATCACCACCACTGTCGTCATCTCCCTTTGGATTGCTATTCACAACAAGTGACACCAGATGACTCATGTCAGTGGTTCTCAGCAGGGCTGGCTTTGCCTCCCAGGAGACATTTGGCAATGTCTAGAGACATGGTTGTCCCAACTAGGGGTGAATCAAAGTCAGGGATACCACTAAACATCTCATAACGCGCAATACAGCCTCCCGTAACAAGCCATCATCTGGTCCGAATGTCCATAGTGCTAAGGTCGAGAAGCCCTGACTCAGATGAGTGCGTTCTGTCAACGCACTAGTCTGCCAAACGCAGCTTCTCCTGTGGTCCAGGAAGCTAAGAACAAATCGACAGAAGTACTAAGCTTCCTACTTTCTAAAGGGATATACGTGGCTGCTGAGTGGGACTGGGTTCTCTGGATGCAGAGCCTGAGCCAAGATGTGTCCTTTGGAGTTTGGCTGATTGGGGAGGCCACCCCAGGCAGTTCTGGAGGGGACATAAGACAGGACAGAGAGGAGGCACTCAACGGGCATCCATGGGCGAGTCCCACCCTGGGCACTGGGCTCAGTCCTGCAGGAACTGTGAGAGATGGTGTAGAACATACCTTGGGGGAGAGGGAACCGGGGCATTTATCCTCCAAACCCCTTCCCTCACTGGTGGAGGGCTGGTCTTGGTGAACTGCATCTCCAGAGCCCCCACCCTGTCTGCATGGTACCAGAGAAAGCCTTCAGGTGGAGAAGCCACTGTGGGTACACATGGCATGTACCACAGGGCTCAGATAGGACGCCAAGGGCATCTGCTACCACCATCTACACAACTCCTCTAATTTGAGCCATCCCTCCACTCTAGCTTACAGAAGGCAAAGGATTTATTGGGTCATCAGAGAGACAGGACTGACGCAGGGAGAATGTCACTACGGGAGGTGAACCATGGGAGGGGAGAAAGCGTATCACTCTCCCTGTAAGTGAGAGGGTGGCGAGGAGGGCTTCAAGGAAAGTCTTGGTGGTGTAGCGGGTGTCTTTCTGGGCTTGGGGATGGTGACTGCATTTGATGCTCACCAAGAGAATAGTAATAATAAAAATCCCGCCGGAGCTGCCTGCCCGCCTGTCCTGGGGGCAGAGCACAGAGGGAAGGGGATGTTGGGCGTGAGCCGCCTGTCGGCAATGAGAGTGGGGATAAGATACGCGTTCCCTGGGTCTAGATGTGAACCCTGAAGCTGGCAGCCACTAGGGGTCTCTTTAAAGGGGTTCCTGCCTCGAAGGGTAATGGGGCCCAGCAGAGGGGAAAGTCAAGAGCAGCCAGACTAGGAGACTTTGCCCACATCAAGGGCCCCGTAAGAGAGGAAATACCAGCACTCCCCATCTTCCGTAACTCCCAGGGCTGCCAACTTAGGCTATCGTGTGTGGGAAAGCAGCAGCCCGCCAGGGCCATCCCCCTGCAGTTCCCAGCCTGGGAAGCCCTGTGCAGGGAGGGCTGACATTTTAAAATGAATAATGTTTAAGCTATATGATTATTAGACTGAACTGCACTTACTGTGATGGGAAGATGCATGACCACGAAGCTCTTATAGAAACAAAAACAGACAAACAGAAAACAAAGAGGAGAATGTGAGGGAAGTAGAAGAATGAATAAAGGTGCTCCCTTCTGGGCCCTTCTGGGTCCACCTTTTGCCAGACTGGTTCCAACGACATACACTAGGCTGGCAATTTATTCCCTGCCCCCGACCCAAGACAGCCCGCATTTCGCCTGCCCAGCCAGCCGCGCTGGATCCACCGAGGGCATCCAGGTCCCTGCTGCTGGGCTGTCCTCAGCCACCGAGAGGAATGTGCAGGGACGTACCAGCAGCGAGACCGGCCCCGGGATGGAGCGCGCCTTTCTGCTGAGGACTCAGGCGAGATGTCAGCCAGACACATCCCAGCAGGCGTTGAGAAATAGG